GGGTTTTGTGGGTGGCAACCGGTCGATGTGTCTCTCCCATATCAATGGTTCTCTCTCCCTTCCTCCCTCTCTCCCTCCCGCTCAATCTGAAGATAAATGCAAAAATGTCCTCGGGTGAGGATTAAACAAAAAAAACAAAACAAAACAGAAAAAGCCATAAGTACATTTAACTTAAAGGAAAACTTCTATCACTAGTACATGAAAAAGGGCATCACTTGCTAGGCCAGTGTGTCCTGTTTGCCCCTGGGACCACTCTCCACCCGCCCCACGTGCTCTGGGCCAGGGGCTGGCCTTCCATCTGCATCAGGGCGCCCCTGGCCTGTGCTTCCGTGTGGGGTTGGTCCGTGGGAGCAGCGGGAGGAGGTCGGGAAGAGGGAGGAAGAAGAGTGCCGTGGGAGTATTTACGACCTCATCTCCTTCCCTAGCGGTCACAAAAGGGCTGGTTGTGTCCCCAGCCCTGGGCCTAGCTCCTGTCCCGAGGTCCCTCAGACCCCGTGCAGTTGCTGGCCCTGGGGATCAGTGCCATTCCTCTGGTTGACCTCCACAGGGCCTACATCTGCATAAATGGTCCCCTGAGTGAATTCTCAGATCACCCACTTTGAAAATGCCACCTGTTTCCTGTCAGGAGCCTGACTGATATTCTTGTCATGAATAGAAAGAGATTGACACAGTCGTAATAAAAGTATGCTATTAAATTCTAATGCAGTGTAAAAAGGAACAAGGAACAAGAAAGGATTTCTATATAAGGCTATAAAATGATCTCCAGACACATAAGTGAAAAACAAACCAGCAACAAAAAACCAAGGTACAGCATACAGTTCAGAGAGCGAGGGAGAGAGAGAACTAGAACCATGTGTCCATATTGGCTTGCGTTTTCAAAGGGAAACAATTGGGAGATAAACCAAATCTTAATAGAAATGGTTGCCTTGGGTGGGATGGGTGGTTGGTAAGAGTTATTTCTGAGAGTATACCTTGTTCTAATTTTGAAACTACTAGATTTTTTTAAATTAAATTTTTAGACGCTTGGCTGGGGTGGCTCACTGGTTGAGCGTCGACCCATGCACCAAGGGGTCGTCAGTTCGATTTCTAGTCAGGGCACATGCCCAGGTTGTGGGCCAAATCCCCAGTGGGGGGCATGCAGGAGGCGGCCAATCGATGTTCTCTCTCATCGATGTTTCTATCTCTCTCTTCCTCTCTCTCTCTAAAATCAATAAAGAAAAAAAATTTTTTTTTAATTTTTAGAGAGAGAGAAACATGGGTTTGTTGTCCCACTTACTGATGCATTCATTGGTTGATTCACTGTGCCCTGACCAGGGATCAAACCCTCAACCTTGGCGTATTGGGACAATGTTCTAACCAACGGTGCTATCCGGCCCAGGCACTACTAAATGTTTTGCATAATTTTAAAAAACTAAATTATGTCAAAGAGATAAATAAATTCTAAAAATAAAGTACAGAAACAAAGAACCTAATTGTATATCCAGTTGGTGGCATAACCACCCTAAGAATCATTACTTCAACTACATTTAACAGTATTTTGGCCATTCATCCTTACTGAGATGCATACTATGGGAAAAATACATTCAGAAGTCTTATTCTTAGTATTAATATTGGTATCTTGAAAACAGTAGGATAAAGAAATAAATTATTATATGTTTTGTTTTTGGAGAGTTTTTTTCCTGATCCGAGGACATTTTTGCATTTATCTTCAGATAGAGCGGGAGGGAGAGAGGAAGGAAGAGAGAGAGAGAAACATCGACGTGAGAGAGACACATCAACTAGTTGCCACCCACAAAACCCCAACCAGGGCAGGGACAAACTGCAATAGAGGTACATGCCCTTAGTGGAAACCGAACCGGGGACTCTCTGGTCCACAGGCTGACGCTCTAACCGCTGAGGTAAACCAACCAGGGCAATAAACTATATATATGATAAAACAAATAAATTATGTTCATATCATTAGCAACCAACATTTACAACCCAGGAGATAAAATTTTTAAATACAAAAATGGAGTGAAAAGTCCATAATAATTTGAGCTAGGAATTTGAAACCCTGAGCTCATCATTTTCTTTCCCTGCCTTCTCCAGCACACTGAGAAGCAACCAGTCAGCTACATTATCCTCCTTATTTTCACTAAGATGTTCTATGCCAGCAAATACTCGGTCACTCAGAGCCTTGCCTTCTCTAGGTACTTGATCACGAAGATCTATGGCTAATAGTTGGAGTAACTGTATTGGCCCCACATGGCCTACGCTACAGATGTCCCCTTTAGCCCTGGAAACAAGGTCACCCGTACCTTTACATCTAATCAGACCAGAGGCAATTCAGAAAACTCATCTTTAAGACTCTGTTTCTAAAAAAGAAAAACAAAACAAAAGCTCTGGCTGGTGTGGCTCAGTTGGTTGAGCAACATCCAGTGCACCAAAGCACCCCTGTTTTGATTTCCCATCAGGCCACCTGCCCAGGTTGTGGGCTCTATGGGGAGTGGGAGGGTCCAGGAGACAGTCAATGGATGTTTCTCTCTCACATCGATGTTTTTCTCTCTCCCTCTTTCTTCCTCTCTCTCTAGAATCAATAAAAACATATTCTTTTTAAAAGGAAAAAAAAAAAAGATTCTGTTCCTTAGGAACCATTTTCAGTACCAATCTGAATCTGAAGCTACTAGTTAACAGGAACTACAAAGAGAATAGTGGAACACGTTAAAACAAAACAAAACAAAACACACACAAGAATCCAACCAGTCAAATCCAAGATGTGGGAAATTCTGCAGACAAATAACGTGGTTTTCTCAATAAATAATGGCATGCAAAAAGGGGGTAGGGAGGAGCTCCAAAAGATTGAGACATAAGAATAAAGTGTAGGGTGTGGGTTTCTTTGTATCTTAGTTCAAAGCAACCAAATATAAATAAGAGATAATCTGGAAAATTTGAACGCAGACTAGTATTGGGCGATATTAAGGAATTATTTTTCATAGGTGAGATGATGGAATCATGGCTAGACTGAAAAAAAGATTTTATATGTTAGCTATACATACTGAACTATTTATGAGAATAATGATATAACCCTTGAGACAGGGTTTGAAATACTGCTGAAAAGAAAGTGTGTGATGGGGATGGCTATGTAAAACAAGCCTGATAAAATATTGATAGTAATCGAAGCTAGGTGATGGGTACATGGGAGGTTAATAATATTATTTTCTTATGCTAGAAATTTTCCATAAAACCTTAAATTAATCCTGTTATTGTGAAGGCTCTGAGCCAAATTTAGCTCCCTTGTTAAAAAATAAAAAAAAATAAAAAAACCAGTCCCGCTGGTGTGGCTCACTGGTTGAGTGTGGACCCATGAACCAAGAGGTGGCTGGTTGGATTCGCGGTCAGGGCACATGCCAGGTTGTGGGCCAAATCCCAGGGGTGGGGAGAAGGGGGTGGGACATGCAGGAGGCGGCCAGTAGATGTTCTCTCTCATCAATGTTTCTATCCCTCTCTTTCTCTCCCTTCTCCCTCTAAAATCAATAAAGAAAAAGTAAATAAAAACAAACAAAGAGCCCTGGCCGGTTTGGCTCAGCGGTTAGAGTGTCGGCCTGCGGTCCTGAGAGACCCGGGTTCGGTTCCTGCTAAGGGCGCATACCTCGGTTGCAGTTTGTCCCCGGCCCTGGTCGGTTGTGTGGGTGGCAGCCACTCGATGTGTCCCTTTCACGTCGATGTTTCTCTCTCTCTCTGTTCCTCTCTCTCCCTCCCACTCTACCTGAACAAAAGATGGAAATATGTCCTCGGGTGAGGATAAAAAAACAAAAACAAAGAGTAGCAAGTGCTAGGAAGGTGTTAGCTATTTAATGGCTCCTCACTAAGACTTTCTCCTCTGTGTGATCAGGCTTGGAAAAGACGGCAAAAGAAAATCATTTACTTACTCTCTGGATTAAACGTAATTTCCTGCTAAAATCATCTTCAGGAGCTCCGCCTCCCGTAGCTCCGCCTCCGGTATAAACCATCCTCAGGAGCTCCGCCTCCCGTGGCTCCGCCTCCGGTGTAAACCATCCTCAGGAGCTCCGCCTCCCGTGGCTCCGCCTCCGGTATAAAACCATCCTCAGGAGCTCCGCCTCCGGTATAAACCATCCTCAGGAGCTCCGCCTCCCGTGGCTCCGCCTCCGGTATAAAACCATCCTCAGGAGCTCCGCCTCCCGTAGCTCCGCCTCCGGTATAAACCATCCTCAGGAGCTCCGCCTCCTGTAGCTCCGCCTCCGGTATAAACCATCCTCAGGAGCTCCGCCTCCCGTGGCTCCGCCTCCGGTATAAACCATCCTCAGGAGCTCCGCCTCCTGTAGCTCCGCCTCCGGTATAAACCATCCTCAGGAGCTCCGCCTCCCGTGGCTCCGCCTCCGGTATAAACCATCCTCAGGAGCTCCGCCTCCCGTAGCTCCGCCTCCGGTATAAACCATCCTCAGGAGCTCCGCCTCCCGTAGCTCCGCCTCCGGTATAAACCATCCTCAGGAGCTCCGCCTCCCGTAGCTCCGCCTCCGGTATAAACCATCCTCAGGAGCTCCGCCTCCCGTGGCTCCGCCTCCGGTATAAACCATCCTCAGGAGCTCCGCCTCCCGTAGCTCCGCCTCCGGTATAAACCATCCTCAGGAGCTCCGCCTCCCGTGGCTCCGCCTCCGGTATAAACCATCCTCAGGAGCTCTGCCTCCCGTAGCTCCGCCTCCGGTATAAACCATCCTCAGGAGCTCCGCCTCCCGTAGCTCCGCCTCCGGTATAAACCATCCTCAGGAGCTCCGCCTCCCGTGGCTCCGCCTCCGGTATAAACCATCCTCAGGAGCTCCGCCTCCCGTGGCTCCGCCTCCGGTATAAACCATCCTCAGGAGCTCCGCCTCCCGTAGCTCCGCCTCCCGCGGCTATTCCCCGCACTTCCTCCATCGCCCGCAGTGCGCTTTCCGGCTCCTCTGCGGCTCTGGTGCCCCCGCTACCTCCGCCTCCGCCGCGCCCATCGCCCCTCGAAGCTCGAGATGACCAACATCGTGCTCTTCAGCGGCAGCTCGCACCAGGACCTGTCCCAGCGTGTGGCCGACCGGCTGGGCCTGGAGCTGGGCAAGGTGGTGGCCAAGAAGTTCAGCAACCAGGAGACCAGAGTGGAGATCGGTGAGAGCGTGAGAGGGGAGGACGTTTACATCATCCAGAGTGGCTGTGGAGAGATCAATGACAACCTGATGGAACTGCTCATCATGATCAACGCCTGCAAGATGGCGTCGTCGTCCAGGGTGACCGCGGTGATCCCGTGCTTCCCTTACGCCCGCCAAGACAAAAAGGACAGGAGTCGCGCTCCGATTTCTGCGAAACTCGTGGCCAATATGCTGTCCGTCGCTGGCGCCGATCACATCATCACCATGGACCTGCATGCGTCTCAGATCCAGGGGTTCTTTGACATTCCCGTGGATAACCTGTACGCGGAGCCCGCGGTCCTGCGGTGGATTCGGGAGAACATCAGCGACTGGAAGAACTGCATCATCGTCTCCCCCGACGCGGGCGGGGCCAAAAGGGTCACGTCCATCGCGGACAGGTTGAACGTGGAATTTGCCTTGATTCACAAAGAGAGGAAGAAGGCGAACGAAGTGGACCGGATGGTCCTGGTGGGCGACGTGAAGAACCGTGTGGCCATCCTCGTGGATGACATGGCCGACACGTGCGGCACAATCTGCCACGCTGCTGACAAGCTGATCTCGGCTGGAGCCACCAAAGTCTACGCTATCCTCACTCATGGGATCTTCTCTGGGCCGGCTATTTCCAGAATAAATAGCGCCTCCTTTGAGGCGGTTGTCGTCACAAACACAATTCCACAGGAGGACAAAATGATTCAGTGCTCCAAGATCCAGGTTATTGACATTTCGATGATCTTGGCCGAGGCGATCCGCAGGACCCACAACGGTGAATCTGTGTCTTACCTGTTCAGCCATGTCCCGCTGTAAATCCGGGATGGGAGCATGGAGCAGGCCTGCTGGCTTCTGACTAGTATGTATGTATCTGATTTTGTAGCTTTAGGACTCAGCAATTAGAACCCAAAAGCATCAGATCTTTGTATCCTCCGGGATCCATTGTTTCTCCCTTCTATAGCTCCAGACCATTTATTTCCAGTTTGCGGGGAGGGTGGTGGTTATTTGATTTGTGCACTGTCATAAATCAGAAGTATTTTTGTCTGCTTGACTTGTTCTGATAGGTGACTTTTTTCTTTGTTCTGTCAGTATTTTGAGGCCACAACTTTTGAGTATATAAATGCCTATGTGGAAGTTCATAATTTATATATTTCAGGGTTGCCAAAAAGTGACTCTAGGATAAAGGCATCTATGTAGATATATAATGATAATGCCTATGGACATTTTGATAAAACACTATATAAAGTGAGCCCTTCTAAGAAAACTTTAGAAAATTTATAATACTGTGAATTTTGTATTGTTTTGTTATTGTGCTTAATGTGGACCAAATTTTATGTAGTTTACGATGACCACTCACACATTTTTGGGTAAACATTAGACATCTAAAATAAATAAATACATAAATAAATAAATAAAATCATCTTCGGAACAAAAAAGTGGTCAGCATCCACCTTGAGAAGCTCTGGTATCATAAAGTAAACCCAGGACTGGGGATAGGAGGCCGGGAATCTAACCTCAGTTCTGGTCTTGCTGGAAGCCCCTTTGTCTTGTTTATTCCTCCGTAAGATGGAGAAATCAGACTAAAATATCTCTAGGATTCCTCAAAGTATGTCAGCCTGTGGTTCAGTAAGTGATTTATGTGACTGACAGCTCATCCAGTCATTCAACAATCGTTTATCAAACGACGATGCTTGGTCCTGGGATGCAGGGGGACACAGTCCCTGCCTTCACGGTGCTAGCTTAAAGTCTAGCTCTAAGCTGCCATTTCCAAGAGAATGTTAGCTATTTTGAAAAACAGACATGGGCCTAGTGGTATATTTTGGAAGGAATCTGAGGCATTTTTCTCCCAGGCCTTCTACCTACTCCAGTGTCCTGACTCTTCCTCCCAGACCAACTGCATTTTGGAGCAGCTGAAAGAACACCACCTGACTCCCTGTGCCCGGGGCTGCCATGCTCTGATGGACCAAAGTAAAGGCATTCTTCCCCCTGAAGCAGGAGGCAGAGTCTTTGCACCCCATACAGGTGCTGAGAGTGGGAGGAGGGGTCCTCCAGGGGAAACCAGAGTGCTGTAAATGGAGAAAGGGTCAACCTACTATGCCAAGGGACAAAACACACTAGCCCAAGGCCTTTCTCATCTCAGCAAGTACCAGAATAAACATATCAAACTTTCCCATTTACCTGAGAAGAGCTAACATAAAGTAATCCAAGTTTGTTTGTTTGTTTTTGTTAATCCTCACCCACAATATTTTTTCCATTGATTTTTTTTAGAGAGAGTGGAAGGGACGAAAGGAGAAAGAGGGAGGGAGGGAGGGAGAGCGAGAGAAACATCAATGTGAGAGAGGCACATCGATTGGTTGCCTCCCACCTGTGCTCTGACAGGAACTGGGGATTGAACCTGCAACCCTGTTACAGCGGATGCTGTAACCACTGAGCCACACTGGCTAGGGCCAAGTATATTTCTTAACTTACCTTATCAATAGGAATCAATCCGAAGAATTGTTTTAACCTTACTATCTCATCTTTCTCGTCTGTAGAATGGGGATAATGGTATTTATCTCCATGTAGCATAGCAATTAAGAAGATTCGGGGGATAATTCATATAAAAAGCCTAGCACAATGGCTGGCACACAAAAAAGCCCAATAAACAGCAGCTATTTCACTGCCTATTGACCACTCAGTCCACACAATCCAGTTTGTCAGAGGCAGAAGCAACTTTCGGTCCCACCCAGGCTTCCTGGAATGTGACCTCCAGTTGACTATCTGCTCCAGCTTCCCCACAGGACCCAGCAAACCAACCTTGGCCCTGGTCATTCAACCTATTCTCTGGGTTTAATGGCCCAAGGAACTTTGCTTGGAACTCTCAAGAAACCAATCAAATTCTTGTTTATGAGTGTTTTTTATAATACTAATGACCATAAAAAGCAGTCTAGAAGCTGAGACGGATCTCACCCATTTTTTTTCCTTAAAGACTCCCAGATTTCCTAGGAGACACACCCAGTCCTCTCCACTGATAACTAACCTCAGGCCATTCCTATCTGCTTTGTTTTAACCTGGCCTTGTTCTCCTAGTCTCATCCACAGAATAAATTGTTTGACCCTTGGTTTTAAAGAGGCGCACCCTAGAATTTTCCTAACAATCCAAAATCCTTTAAAATTCAAGGTCCACTGGTTTCCCACCTCCCACAGGATCAAGGTCAAAATTTTCAGCTCACCTCCAAGACTCCCCAACATTTTACTTCAACTTCCACCATAGTCTTTTATGTAACCTGTTTTGTTTTGTTTTTTAATTTTTGTTTTCTTTATTGATTTTAGAGGGGGAGAGAGAGAGAGAAACATCAATGAGAGAGAACATTGATTGGCCACCTCCTGTGTGCCCCCCACTGGGGATTGGGCCCACAACCTGGGCATGTACCCTGACGGAATCGAACCGGTGACTTCTTGTTGCGTGGGTCAACGCTCAACCACTGAACCACACTGACTGGGTTGCAGCCTGTGTTTCATTCCTAATTTTACCTAGTGACAGTTCAGGTACCTGCAGGAATTGGGCAGATGTTAAAATTTGGTGAAGTGGCCCAATGTGGCTCAGTTGGTTGGACATCTTCCCACACACCAGGAGGTCACTGATTTGATTTCTTGTCAGAGCACATGCCCAGGTTGCGGGCTTGATCCCTATTATGGGGTGTGCAAGAGGCGGCCAATCAATGTTTCTATTTCTCCCTCTCCCTTCCTCTCTCTGAAATCAATAAAAATATTTTAAAAAGAAAATGAAATACAATTTGGTGAAGTGGCCCAGTTTAATTCAAGAGGGTGGAGTGCAATCTCTGGTGAACCAGTCAGTACCTGGCCTGCCTAAAGACATTCAAATTCAAATTGCTTGAGAACAAAGGTAGCCAAACAAAACATATCTGGGACCTTCAGAAGATCAAACTCTTTTTTTTTTTATCCTCACCCGAGGACATTTTTTCCATTTTTTGTTCAGATAGAGTGGGAGGGGGAGAGAGAGAGAGAGAAATAGCTATGTGAAAGGGACACATTGAGTGGATGCCATCTGAACAACCCAGCCGGAGCCAGGGACAAATTGCAACTGAGGTACGTGCCCTTAGTGGGAACCGAACCCGGGTCTCTCTGGACCACAGGCTGATGCTCCAAGTGCTGAGCCAAAGTGGCCAGGGCTTTTTATTTTTTATTTTATTTTTATTTTTTTTTGGTATGTGCCCCTTGCGGGAACCAAACCCAGGACCCTCTGGTCCACAGGCTGATGCTCCAACTGCTGAGCCAAACCAGCCAGGGTCAAACTCTTTTTTTTTTTTTATCCTCACCCGAGGACATTTTTCCATTTTTTTGTTCAGATAGAGTGGGAGGGAGAGAGAGAGAAAGGGACCCATCGAGTGGCTGCCACCCGCTCGACCAACCAGGGCCGGGGACAAACTGCAACCGAGGTATATGCCCTTAGTGGGAACCGAACCCGGGTCTCTCTGGACTGCAGGCCGACGCTCTAACCTCTGAGCCAAACTGGCCAGGGCCAAACTCTTTAATAATACAACCCCAAGTCCAAATAAAATTACACATAGAATCCCGTTATAAAAATAGATAAAAGTAGTGTTTTTATCAATATAAATTTTATTTTATGATTTTAAACATTGATTTCTAAATGTTGTAAAACTAGTCAAAGAAAGGAAGTATTGATGACCACAAAAACTTAAAATTGAAACCAGGGTTTGGATGACAATTGCAGACTTGAATCAGCCTCAGTAGTCAATTCATTGAACAGTAATTTAAAAAATTCATAATATTGAGAAAATACCAACTTATATATATATAGTAATGTGCTGCATTTTGCTCAATAACAGATCACGTGTATAATGGTGGTCTCATAAGATTATAATGGAGCCCTGCTGATGTGGCTCAGTGGTTGAGCATCGACCCATGCACCAAGAGGTTGCCGGTTCAATTCCTGGTCAGGGCACATGCTGAGGTTGTGGGCCAAATCTCCAGTCTGGGGGCATGCTGGAGGCGTCCAGTCAATGTTCTTTCTTATCAGTGTTTCTATCTCTCTGGCCCTCTCCCTTCCTCTCTCTCTAAAGATCAATAATAAAAAAAAAAAAAATTTTTTTAAGATTATAATGGAGCTGAAAAATTCCTATTTCCTAGTGACATCTTAGCAGCAGGTAGTAACATTGTATATAGCACAAGACATTACTGCTTAGTGTTTTGTGTGGGTCTCAGTCTATTGGTAGTGATACTATTGAGACAGGCTAGTAAGCCAGAACAAGCAAAATAGGGAAGGTGAGACAAGCAATTTGCAGACATCTACTAAATCCTATATTCCCTAAACCAAGGACACTTAGAGTTAATGGTTAGCATTTCTCCTCCCCAACCAGAGACTATAGCTTAAAGTACTCTATCTATTCAGGGAGATAGAGAGTAGAAATCTAATTAGTGCCATTTGCCAGCCACACCCAAGGACAGATGCAGTTAAGGGAATAAATCTCATTTTGGCACATTGGCATAAAGCGGATGAATATTCTGTTGAGATCCTCCCCTAATCACCCAGGAGTACTCCCTCCTTCCCCTTCCTCCTCTTCTTCCCCTACAGTAATGCATCTCCTAAACTCTAAGGGACCCCACGAGGCTTGCAAACAGGGTGGCAATGGGCAGCAGCAGCCCATCCCAGGTAAACCCCCTGAGCCTGACCCCCAAGGCTCCTTTTCCTGTGACTTCTTAGTGAGCCAAAGCAGACCAGCCTGGGCTCATGTCCCCAGTCCTTTCTTCACTTAAAAATCACCTGGACCTGTGTTGTGAAATCTTTCCCGCAGG